AAAGCAAAGTAAGATATTCCAGAGTTAACTCTGAAGATTAACTCTGCAAACTGCAATATATTCTGCAATAATGAGAACTGGGGGAGACAGAAACAGCCAAGTCTATCTCCACTCTCACCAGAAAGCCCAGTTTAATAAGCAAGATGGGCTCCCTACATCATTTGTTCAGATTTTCCATTACTTAGCAAATATGTCTGTGAAGGGAAAATCATCATATTGGCTTATATTGTACTTGATGGGAATTACAATCCCTCCTACTTTAAAGTGAATTCCTGTCATGCCAAATGTCCCTGGAGCTAGACTCTAGTGCTAACGGTTTTCTATTGTATTTAATCCTGTTACTTTGTGCAGTCATACTAAGAGGCAGCTCTCTTATCCAGTCAATGCAGGTCTAACACTTGAATCACTCAAACTTTCACTTGCTCATCCCTTATATTTCATACCTCATTCAAGTAAAAATGTTGACCCAACAAACATTAAGAGCAGATATCTACTTTCACCAAAAGGCTTCCCTCTGTGCTTGAGTATTGCTTTTCAAATGGCTCACACACAGCTCATATTTCTCTTTACTTGTCCCACAGATACGAGGTGTGACTTCCTAAGTGTAACAGTAAAATCTTTAAGCATTTCCCTAGCCTCCAAACTATGACTCTCCTAAAAGAAAATGATGACACATTTTATCATCTAATTTGCCCAAATCTTTCCCATTTCTGAAAATCCAAGTATTTGTCCACTTTGATTGAATCCACATACATACACTCTTCCCATAGAAAAGTGATATCATGAAAGGAAATTATGTGCCATACAATGGATATTAAAAATCCAGAAAACCCAAAATAGCTAATGGGTACTTGCTATGGACCAGGTCTATGTAGGACATAATACCTGACTTGTCTCTTGCCCTTAGCATCAGAATGTTTAGAAGAATCAGTGCTACATTCTCCCTTATGTTACAAGCCTCTCATCTCTTTCACCAATTTGTCTTTATCCCCTGACACCCATCTCCAGTTCTACGTTCTTGCTGCACTCCATCCTAAAGACCACATTCTCATGCTTTCCCTTATCCATTCAGCTAATTAGCTCATCAGTATCAGATATCACCAGCATTATCCTCTCAACTCACATGTCCAACTTGGCTGTCTGGCAAGAGCCTCCCATCTTTCAATAGATGAAAAGGAACTTCACTTAATATAATCAGATCCAGCCATCAATCCCCCTCCTATATAGGGACTTAACTGATCTCCACAAACAGAACATTTCTTATTTTTGCTGTGTCTATGCTTCAATGCAATCTTATATTTCTACTGTAGCATTTAACATATAACTGCCTCAGCCATATACAAAATCCCAATGATGTACACATATATAACCTCCATTAGGTAACAGGCCGAAGATGAGAGTGAAATGGAAAGCAAAGTTGAGATTTAAAGTTTTCTTTCATTGATCCAGTTTAACTTCACATAGTCCTGAATTCTTCATCTTTATAAGATGCCCATTTTATAAGGACATTGTGAATTTGAACAGAAACTGATGGAAAATACCTTAAACTTAGAGGGGGCTCAAATAGGATGCTTCCAAGAGGTTTGTTTGCTCTAAATTCTGGAAGAGCACTCAGTCTTGACTTTGTTATGAAAATATTTGTGAACACCTGCCTAGCTCCTTTCTAGAAGTGCACACTGAAATGAAATCAAAATCCTTTTATTTACTATTAAAGCATCCTTCCAGAGGGAGATTTTAGAATAGGAGAACCATTAGAAGCTACTATTCTCATCTTTTCCCCCCTTAAACCACTTCTTTCTGAATCCACAAAAGAATAACATAAATAGTACTCCTTTTCAACTACCTACTTTAGTAAAGTCCACTGACATCACTATAACTTTAGTGAAAATATGAGAAACAGCTTCTCAAAAGGTATTTGTTTCATTACAAGATGCCTTTAAGGAGCAAACAGCATTTACTATGTCAAGATGCTAGAATTTAGTGTCTCTTTGAGTTTCACAGGTCTTTGTTCCTTTGACTTTGGCAACTTGCAATATCATGGTGGGTTTAATTAATTACTTAACTCCTTAATAGGAAGTGTTCATTGAAGAGCTCAGGATGCTCCTTTTTTTTTTGTGACCATCTTTTTGTTCTACCTCTTTTTACAATGAAAGTATAGTCTTTTCTTGGTACTCACTGGGGGATTGGTTCCAGGATTCCCACAGATACCAAAATCTGCAAATGCTCAAGTCCTTTTTTTTTTTTTCTTTAGTACCAGGGATTGAACCCAGGGGTGCTTAATCACTGAGCTACATCCCCAGCCCTTTTTATTTTTGATTTTGAGACAGGGTCTTGCTAAGTTGCTTAAGGCCTCACTAAGTTGCTGAGGCTGACCTTGAACTTGCAATCCTCCTGCCTCAGCCCCTGAAGCTGCTGGGATTAAGTGTGTGTGCCACCACACCCAGCTCAAGACCATTTTATGCAAAATGGTATAGTATTTGCATATAGTATATACACATCCTCCTATATACTTTAAATATTTTCTAGGTTACTTACAATACTTAATATCTTAATTCAATGTCAATGCTATGTAAATAGTTGTTATGCTTTATTGTGTAGGGAATAATGGCAAGAAAATATCTGTACATATTCAGTACAGATGCAATTTTTTTTCCAAATATTTTAATCTGCAATTGGTTCTTCTGTAGATACAAGGGACCAATAGCACTCAACTGACTTTTTGTACATTCTTAGCCCTATGCCAAGAAAAAAATTAAGTCAGGAATGAAAGAATGTTAAACTGCAAATACTTTTTTTCATCAGATTCAAACATTCCTATTTTGGAGCATCTCACTCTCTTTAGTTTTCCAGAAGGCACAAGACAGAGACCTAGGAAACCTCAGAAACAAACTTGGACCTGTTTACTGAATAACAAATGTAGAATATTTATTAGACTTTAATACTGATTGAGAATATTCCTGATCATTCTTATAATTGATTCACTTAAGTATTTTATTAGAGAATAACAGTTTATTATTGGATGAGGCCTCAGTAGTCATAGGTAACAAACTGACAGGCCATGGGCCACATGTGTCCCAGACATATTTTTAAAGTTGTCCTTACAGTTTCTGTAAGCCCACATTGTAAAATTCATTTTACAATGACAAGCATAGTTATTCTTGGATACCCTCAGAGGATTGGTTCAAGAAGTCCCACATAAAGAAATCCAAAATCTTCTGTTTTCCTTGAAAATTTAGTATGTTTTAAAGACTAGGCAGAAACAATCAGCTTCAGTAAAGAAGAAGCTGCCCTCTTTCTGGTGCCTTCTGGTGCCTGTTGCAGAGGCCAAAGTCCACACCCACTCTCTCAGATGTCTCCTACTAGGCTGCTCCACTCCTCTATCTCACCTTTCAGACCCCTGAACATATTTCAAATGTAAGCACAACTTTTTTTTTTTTTAAGGCAAAGAGCCTCTATCCAAAAAGGGCTTCCCCACTGACTAGCTCAGTGACCTCCACAAGGTTTGAATCTTGGGTGTCTCAGCTTTATACTGAAGGTAATTCTTTGACCTCATGATTATTATGAGGATTAATAAAAAAAAAAATGAAAAGTGCTTTGTAAACTATAATGTAAAATGTTTGTCATCATTTTTCATCTCTCAGCATTCTGTGAGCTGCATAAATCCCTTTTACCTACTTCAGTTATTATTTGTCTTCTTTGTTCCTCTTATCATTACACCATGCATGACAGTTTAAAATCTAAATTAAGGAATTTGACATATTTTCCTTGCTTTATTTAACAAGAGGTAGAAAAGATGAACAAATATCAAAGGAAAACAAAATGAATTACTGAATGACAGTGAATCTTTATTTAGTCATTCCTCTTTGTGATGAAAGTATGAAATTAGTGCAAAGTGTAATTACTGGATTGCTGATGCCTTCAAGTGCTGTGTTACAAGTTCATCCACCAGGCACTTGAGGTACAACCAAAACTGAAAGCCCAAGTATTAAGGGGCTTCTGTGAAATAAGGGCCCTAATCAGTGTTTTGCTAAAGAATTCAGTACATCAGAATCAAAAAATAAAAATCTACATCTTAATATGAGTTCTAATTAGACTCTGGGGTTTTAAGCCATGGCTTACATTTTATATCTATCAACATATATAGATATAGAAATACTCCCTCCTCAAATCAACAAGAGGTTTGAAAGAAAACAGAATCTTCTCAGAAATGGGCAGAGGTGCAGAAAACTGCCTTAATTAGTGATGCAGTGGATACTAAAATGTTAGCAAAGCTGCATTTCATGAATACTATATTGTTATCTTAGGGATTCACAAATATGTATTCCCCTTCTGGTCAATTTACAACAGATCATCCTGATGTGGGGAACCACAATACAATCATCTGCTTTTAATTGTTAAGAATCACACCTAAGTGAACTGCAAAACAGAACTGAAAATAGAAGGGAAGAATAGATTTAAATTGGAATCAGCATTCTTTATATCACCAAAATGGAACTAATTCATTATTCAAAACACAATCCGTTGAAAATTCATCTGAAGAATCCTTTTTAAAGCATATCGTATACCGCAATTACAGCTTTTCTTGAAGTTGAATGAAACCGTCGCCTGAATACAAATTAACGAATGTCAAATTGACACAAGATTTCCAGTGTATATTTTATTTTAAAAATCAAAATAAATAACAACATCATTTAAGAAACCAGTTCTATTCAATAGATGTCCCAAAGCTAATGTTTAAGCAAGTCTCCCTGGCAACCAAGGAACACAGTGCATATTGGGCTGGGGGGAAGGATAGAAAGGGGGAGCAACTCCAGGGTTGGTAGAATAAGTAACCAGAGTAGTAATTGCTCCGCTAGACGACGTTGGTAGAGGCTGTATGCCCCTGAAATTTCAACTCCAGTTCTCGCCCCCTCTAGCACTACAGCAGTTTCCCACCCTCTCCCTCGGGTCTGCAGGCACCAACCCGAACAGGTTACTCCCCAAACAGGAGATTGCCTTACCCGATGGGGTGAGCGGTCTGCTTGGTTTTGTACCCGAGGCGGCAGCGCAGGCACCAGGTTCTCCCTGATGCACAAAGGCTCTGCTTCGCCCCAAGATCCTGGGGTTAAGAGAAATTGCAGTAGCTTCTCTCTGCGGGTTTGGGGATGCAACTGTGAAGACGAGCGCGCCAGTATGTGTGTGTGTGTGTGTGTGTGTGCGCGCGCGCGCGAGTGTGTGTGTGTGTGTGCCTGTGTCTGTGTACGCGCGCGCGCCTGCCTGCGCGCTCCCGGGCAGTGTTCCCTAGTAAATAAAAAGCACCAGCCAGCACTGCAAGGGACACGTCCGGCTAGCTACCCCAGGCAGTTGTCAACCAGTAGACGCACCTTGGAAGCCCCCGGGTGGGTTTAGAAGCCAAAGCGACTCCGCCCCCTCCTGCCCCCAGCGAGCTCGCGCACAACACCCCCCCTCCCACCCTCTGCTGGAGAACCAGCGCGCACGCTCCCCTCCCCTCCCTGCCCCCTCCCCGCCGCCGGCGAGCCAGCGCGCACGCCTGCTCTCCCCGGAAGTCCCCCTTTTCTGTGCTGCCGCCCCCCTTTTCCCTCTCTGGCACCTGCGCCGCTGGCCGCCGGGTCACATGCACACCCTGCAGCCACAGCTGCGGCCCCTGCTGTGACGAATTATACTATAGAACCTAGCCTGCTTACCCCAGACTCTCTTTCCAGGACTTCGCAGCAACCTGTGCCAACCGAAGCCATGACCCCAACTTGCTGTGGAGAGTACTGGTCCTGTGCTTTCCCTTTCCCTGACCTAGGGAACTTGTAAAGTTCAAGTTCCCTCTATTTCAAGAGGCCCTAAAGTGGCCCTCCTTAGGATTGTACATGTTAATGTTGAGAACAAAATCAAGATAACTTTAGGAAACTTGATCCACCTCTCCCTAAAAGGTGGACAGAAGTCCTGAACCTGAAGAATAAGTAAGGGTATTTGGTTATAGCTAATTCTGAATTGAAACCGCAGACAGACAACAACCTCGGAACACATCACTGAATTCCAGGGCCTGGCACACTTTCAGACCATTCATTAATTCATTCTTTTGAAAAGCCTGCTCAAAATTCACATTTGAGTGAAATGATTAGTTTTAATGTGTAAATGTTAGACCTGTGAATTGAAAACCTTGGTCACATGTGGAGTTAATCCACTGGAGCAAGACAATACAGCTCGACATTAGAGATAACTATATTTTGTAGACACTGAATATTTAAACTTCTACAGGATCGGAAGGCTCATTCCTTGCAGATTTATGTTCTTGGGTTAGGAAGTATCTTTTTGGAGCATCCTTAATATTCTCCTTACTCCCAAATCAGTTTCAGAGGTTGTTTTCCACTTTTAAACTTTCCAGATTTCTAGGTCTATTTGTCCCTGTGGGACCTGTCTTTTTCTTCCAGTGAGTGTTTTACTCCCATGATCTTGATATTTGCACATTAGGAAGCTGAGCACCTACTCATCTAGCAGTCCTGGACACCAGGATAGGAGCAGAGAAAAGAATGACAAACAATTAACTGCAAACAGTAGATGCAGTGTCATTCTCTAGAATTTTTCATAAACAACTGATATTTTTCATTGGATGTTATTTTATACTTGGAGATCAAATAAGAAAGTATTTTTGAACCCAAAATATTAACAATGACTGGTGTCAATAAACAGAATACTCCATTAGGATTTACAAGGTGTCATTAAATTAACAACACTTAATATGTTAATGTAGTGTGTGTGTGTATATATATATATGTATATATATATATATATATATATATATATATGTATATATATACACACACACACACACATACATACATTTATATATCTCCAATATACCCATTGGATTATCCTTTTTGAATAAATAGCTTCTATTTATTAAATATAATCAAAAAGTGCAAATAACTGCATGTACACAGAAAAAGAATCTTTATTACTACCAATTTGCCATCTGTATGATAAGGAAAGGTCTCCTACAGCCCTAGCTGGTGTTTCTTGTTTATTATCCTATCCCTTGACCCTAGCTCATTATCTGTCACATAGAAGTGACTCAATAAATATTGCTTACCTACATCTAAGATGTTGAGGAGTAAATTTAAAAAATTTATGTTAAATAAGAGACTCAGTGTTTGTTAGGTAACCACCCAAACTCAACACAAACATATTTTCCAATATTACTAGGGCTTTTAGATGCTTTCTCTCGCAAATATCATTAAATTCAGTCTTTCTCCTTACTAAGAAAATAGTTTAAGACTTTTAAAAGCTGGGGTTTTGTTTGTTTGTTTGTTTGTTAATTTTTTGTTTGTCTCTGGAATACTGACCATGTGTTGAACTTTTTGTTTTTTGGCCCTTATAATGTTAGGCAGTGTAATAATTAAATGACTTTTAGTTGTCATTAAGAGACATTGTCCCTGTTTCAATCTAGTGATATTATGAAAGATGAGCTGAGGAAGAAAAACATGTGGGGTCCTTTGATTGCAAGTAAAAGAAAATTACTTCACTCAATTTAAACAAAAGGGGACTTAAGAATATAGGGAGCTCGAGAATTGATAGGAGGCCTCCCTGGATATCCAGGCAGGAATTAGAACATCCACAGAGGACAGAGAAGCAGTGACCACAGGATAATTGGGGTAGAGATGTTATGATCCAGTAACTCCCATTATTGGAAGAGATAAACCCCAATCTACTGCTCTTTATACTCCCTGTTCATATCCCATTTCCAGTTGTCCTAATTTGAAGTCTTAGCCTATCTCTCAGGTGGTCTAGGGTGGAACCCTTGATCACAGCCCCCACAGAATTTATTAAAGAAAAATGGGCCTTGGGTTAGGTGGAAAATAGCATACATTCATGGCAGGAAATGGGATGTGATTTAAATGTTTTGGGGAAACATTAAGAATGGGATCCCTGCCACAATAGTGCATTAAAGACTGAGATCTTACACTAAGGGAGCCACTTTCACTTTCTTAAACAAGTATCCTGGAATTTGGTTGAGTGTGGAGCCCTTATTTTTCAACTTACTTCTTACTCTTTGGGGATGTGTTTTGGAACACGAAAGTTTTTGCAGCATTTGTTGTTGTTGTCTCCATCTATCCTCAGCTTGTCCATAAACCAAGATGTAAGAACACAGCATAAATCCAACGTTATCATAAGTTTTTATACAATCTGTTTTTCAACAGCTTTGTGAGAATTAGGGAGATTTGAAATTGTCTCTAGACACCAGATGTCACTCTCAAACTACATAATAAAGTAGAGTTATGCCACAGCTCCTTTTTCAAGTCTAGAGCAAACAGCTGCTGTAGCCCTTTTGCTACACCAAGTGAGGAGACAGGTGTTATTCTTAAAGCCAGTGTCATAGATTTCTGTCACAAACCAACAGTGACATTAAGAAATCACTGAGCCATACTTCAATAAGTGTACTTCTGGAGAAAACAGATCAATATTAATTATACCAAAATCAAAATTGATTTTTGGCTGATATTCTCCAGTTTTCAAGTAAAAAATACAAGCTAACTCTAGCTAACACCTGCATGTATTCAAGAACCTGTGGGCACATTTTATAGGTAACTTGTTCTGTTCATCAGGAGCCGAGGTCACCCAAAACCAGCCATGCCAAGAGAAAGCTTTCATTGATGAAATGTTTAATATTTACATTTTCTATGTCACATTCTCTGATACCAAATGCTATTCTTGTTTTTTAGTCTATTCAGTCTAATCAATTAGACTTGTAATGGGAGCTTAGTAAAAAGTTACTGTACTGAATAGGAAATAATCCTTATCCATAAAATAGAATATTTTAATTCTACTACTAGGTAGGTACAAACACAATATGAAGGATATTCTTAGTCATCATTAGGGTAAGGCAGATTTAAAACAAGTTATATTTTTCCATGTATCAGAGTGGCAAAGATGTACAAAGATGTTAATATCTAATGTCAGAGAGAATGTTGATAAATTATGAATTTATGAGAAAAGAAATGGATACAAATATTTTATAGGACAGCTTGTTAATATTTACATTTGTTATGTTTTTTGAAATGCATATGCCTTTGGGTCCAGAAACTCTGCCTCTGATTATTTATCCTAGGGTTACCTCTAACAAAAGCACAAAAACTTGCATAAAAAGATGCTGTGGGCGATTGGGGCGGTGATGGTGCATTTTGAGCATGTCTCCTGGGAGCAGCTGCAGGGCTCCATGTTCTCTCCTGGACTGTGCTTTGGTGCTGGGCTCACATGGACTGCAAAGCAGAGGCCTGCTGCATCCATGTAGTCAAGCTCTCACCAAGAGCTCCTCCTGCACAAATATGACAAGTTTCCTGTGAACCCTGGAGTACCAGTTAACCACTGGCCTTCCTCAGAAGTCTGGTTCCAAAGTTCCGCCCATTCCGCAAAGCCCAGGGGATCAATGAGACTGTGAAGAATCTACCAAAGGTGAACTTAATGAAGTCAACCCATTTGTGAGGCGCATGGCAAAGTTCTTCACTGAAGAGAGTATGCGTAGCTTTCTTTATCATCACCAATTCTTGTTCATCTTGAGTCCTGGGATTATGCTTATGTGCCTCTGAGAAACTGATGTGACTCCATTTTTGAAAATAAATAAATAACAGCAGCTTCTACCTTAAGGCCTGTCCTAAGGAAGGGAAGGGGGCATGACCCTTGTCCTTGGAGAAACCCACAGAGCACTCCTAAGCACATACCCACCCTGCTGAATTGTTTGTCTACAAATAACAGGGAAGAGAGGTGGGAGGGAAAGGGAGAGAGAAGGGAAATTGCATGGAAATGGAAGGAGACCTCATTGTTATACAAAATTACATATAAGAGGAAGTGAGGGGAAAGGAAAAAAAGGGAGAGAAATGAATTACAGTAGATGGGGTAGAGAGAGAAGATGGGAGGGGAGGGGAGGGGGGATAGCAGAGGATAGGAAGGGCAGCAGAATACAACACACACTAGTAGGGCAGTATGTAAAAATGTGGATGTGTAACAGATGTGATTCTGCAATCTGTATACGGGGTAAAAATGGGAGTTCATAATCCACTTGAATCAAATGTATGAAATATGATATGTCAAGAGCTTTGTAATGTTTTGAACAACTAATAATAAAAAAAGAGAGAAAAAAAGGTGTTCAACTATGACTAAAAAACATTTTTTTAAAAAATGTTAAAAAAATTATTATGTTGGTGCTCACATAATATGGGAACTCTAATAAATGTGCTAGAGTAAGTCTCAAAAACAAAACAAAACAAAACAAACAAACAAAAAAACACAGGAGAGATCTGCTGCGCAAGGTGTCCCTGACTCATTTAGGCTAGATGAGGACCCATTACAACCCT